GGTCGGAGCTCAAGAAATCATTTGCCAAATTATTGAAGCGATATGGAATAGCCCACGTAAAAATATCCCCTTACAACTCCAAAGCAAACGGAGTAGTAGAGCGAGGACACTTCATCATTAGAGAAGGGATAGTTAAAGCCTGTGAAGGAGATATATCCCAGTGGCCCAGTAAAGTTCATCATGCCTTTTTTGCCGACAAAGTCACCACGCGACGAGCAAGTGGGTTTAGCCCATACTGGCTACTACACGGTGTAGACCCTGTCCTGCCATTCGACTTAGTGGAAGCAAATTTTTTGGTAGAAGGATTCAAGTCCGGAATGGCATCCGAAGATCTCTTAGCCTTGCGAATCAGGCAGTTAGAGAAGCGCCCTGATGACATCAGAGCTGCAGCAGAGACCTTAGCCAAGAATCGATGGAGCGCGAAGCTTCAATTTGAAAAGCGGTTCAAGCATAGGTTCCTGAAAAAGTCTACTTGGGAACCTGGAGACCTAGTTCTGGTCCGAGATATCGAAAGAGAGCACTCCTATGATCGGAAGCACACTCCCAGATACAGAGGACCATATGAAATTACAGGCCAAACCAAGCACGGATCATATATACTGAGCGAATTGGATGGTACACTGAGTCGTCGCGGAATTCATGGATATAGGCTGCTGCCATACATAAGCAGGCAGCAGGCTGTAGAGGCATTGCGGAGAGCAGACAAAGAAATCCCCTCAGATGAATCTGATCAATCTGAGATGGAAGGATCAGGAATGGAGGAATGATCGGACTAGACTCAAAAAGGGCCCATGCAAATCATTACGTCATCACAAATCAAACATGCCTAAGCGGCTCATTCATCTTGGGTTCCCCTTCATCATAAATCTCTAAAAAGTCACCAAAGTCCCCTCCCTTCTCAAAGAACATCCTGGAAATCATGACTACTGTAGCTGCCTCCAATGCGCCAGCTAGCCGACAGCCCCTTTCGTTGCCATATCCACCCTCGGAATTCATCCCTGCGCTCGTGATCCCTTACCCAAATCCGCTTACAACCACAATCAACTATGGTCTAATTCCAGCTGCGTTGACGTCCACCCAGAATGAGGTCACACAGTGCACATACTGGACGATCGATCCGCCAAGTACTCATGAAATATTACGTGTGCCGCAGAGGCCAGTAAAAATCCCGCGACGTCGCTTTGTCAACATTCTTGGTCTCTCTACTTTATGCTGGTTCGATCGAATCATCGACATTAACCCTCTCGACACCCAGTCCGTAATCATGGAAGGATGGAGATTCCTCTACATTACTGGAGACGGATGGCACGCGTATAGGTTCCATGCAAAGATTGCAGTTGCCTGCCTGGACTTGCCAACCCCCTGGAAGATGCTCCTCGAAGATGAAGAACAACGTCTCAGTTTTTTATACCATTCGAGATCCCTGTGAGCGCCTCCATTCATCTTGCAGTTTCGCATCGTGGGCACCGGGGACGTCGCCTTCAAAGTTTGGGGCGAATTTGTCAGACAATGTTACCGTTCGAATGCCAAACTGCGCTGTCGCCGCACGCTGAATGTCGTTGCCCTCCAGGCTGGAAGTGTACCACTACTACCAGCATCAAGCCGAAGAGACCTGTACATACAGGTCGGTCTTGGAAGGTCTGGTAGATGCAGACTTCAACAACTGGTTGGGGGTAGGAAACGAAGATCTATACGACATATCCTTCGAGCGTGCCAAGCACCTTCTGTTAATGGGAGAAAGGATGAGGGCAAGTATTGGGAAAGGAACTGTGTAGAATGCTCTAGAAGGGCTGAGAGTGTTCCATGGCTGGCTAAGGATTGTTCTCACCTTATTGTTTATGTTTTTCCCATGCTATTGTTAAAGATTTTCTCACCCCTTGTTCTTGATTTCACATGCCCTTTTGTTTTCTTTCATGCTTTTCTCACCTTATTGTTTACCACTTTCCCATGCCTATTGTTTTGGCTTAGTCACCCATGTTCTCAAAGCTTCAGGGATTGGCTGGAGCTGGATGAC